AAAATATTTATTGTAATCTCGGGAGAAGGGGGCAGGGAGAAAATTTATTGTAATCTCAAACTTATGCTCTTGACATAAGTGATTTCATTTTCTGATCTTACCCTAGGGAGATACCCCACCCTTAGTGTTCCCTACCCCACTCTTAATGTTCCCTTCTAAGTCAAAGAGTTATCTACCATCTACACAAGCCATCCAGAGAAAAGCCACAAACCCACCCATATCCTGCTAGACAAAACTTAAAAAGTTCCCAGGTAGACCTGAGGCGCCAACTTCTGGGCCCAAGCAAGCAATCAATACTGCAGGCTTTGCTCTTTGATCCTGGCTATAAACCACAGCCTGAAGCAGTTATGGAAACTAATATTCTTAGGACATGGGGGGGGGGAGACAGGTGGGGCTCCAGAGGAAGGAGCCCAACACTAAGCCTCTCCCAGTAAATCCTTTTCCAGGAACAATGCACCCTGAGGGAATGAGTCAGACTCTGAACAATGGGCCCTAAATTTTGGTCTTCTCCTATTGTCAATTAGCCCAGAATTCCCCCACAGTAAAGAACAAACATCTGGGGAACAATGAATCAATCCCAGAGGAAGAAGAAAAGCAATGGGTGAGATTTGGGATTTGAGTTTTCATCACTAGGGATCAGAGCTCCTATCTCCTCCCTGTAGAAATGAGTTTCAAACTTTTTATACCTGCCTTGCTGAGTTAAACTTTTAACCTGCACAACTAGTTCCCTGACTGTCCCATCCGCATGTCAGCCGTTTCCAACGATTAAACCATCCTCATTGTACCCGATAAAATTCAATTCTAACCAGAAATGAGCCCCTTGGGTGCCTGATTGAGTCCGGAATAAACACACAGCTTCGCAGAACCTATGGAGTCTGCATTGCTCACTTTGCGATTATGCTGCCTTTGGTGTCTGACCCTTTTTTCCCTGGGAAATTGAATAAAACTTTGCTTTGCACTTAGACTCTGTAAAATCTTTCACACTCCACAAACGGGGCGCCATTTAACTAAATCTAACACTTATTAAGCAAGCTTTTCTGAACTGTCTTTCCTCTTGGTCTGTGATCTTTGACCCACCCTCAGCCTCAGCAAGGTCACTCTAAAAGCAGGCTGACTTCAGAGGGAAACTGGATAGAGTATCTAGGGTCTAAGGTCACCACCCCCTGCTCCATTCCTGTCCTACCCTGTTTCTACTCCTGTTTGCTCCTCCCTACAAAAGCAGAAATTCTTGAAGAACCCAGCCTAAATCCATTTTAAGATTGGGAGTGAAAGGAAAGTGACCATGACTCTTAGAGAAAGAGATCTTTATTGTGGTGGTGTCTGATCAATGAGAAAAGAAGAGAGAAAGAGAGAGAGCGGGGAAGGAGAGAAGAGAGAGAGGGAGACAGCAAAGCGAGAGAGAGGTGGTCTTACATCCCTTTTGCTGTGTGTTTAAATCTAACAGTGTCTCTGGGTCTGCAAGCTGCTCTGTTGGCATACAGGGATTGGGTCACACAGTACTTGCCTAGGATGTCATCTTCTGCCTTCAGACAGACCAGGCAGGGGCCAGTTATGGGTGGGGGTTGAGTGTTCAGCCTTGAGGCAAACAAGCGATAAGGAACCAGATGGGTGGGGGTGCAGTGTTCAGCCCACTCTGCAGCTAACATTTATTCAGCCTGTCTTGCAGCTCACAAGGAGCCATCTCACAAGGTCATGAAAAAGTTCATTTCTGTTTTACTGTAAAATATAAGATTTCTATTTGGCCTGACCATATTTTGATGTTTAAACTAGTTTGGAATTCCTGCCCGTGCTTTGAGCTCGCCCATGCCAGGCTCTCCCCAACCAAATAACAACCCTCCCTGAAAACAGTGGCTCCTCATTAATTCTGATGTTGGAATCTGAATTTGCTCCCTACCTTGAAATGTTAAGGAGTGTAGATCATTAATCTGCTATCTGCCCTTGCATTGCGCTTGCCAGAACCCTGTAGCTCCAAGTTCCCAAGACACCCGCCTTTGTAACCAATTGTGCTATAATAAAAACCCTGCTCTTATGCCAGACTGACTTTTGGGTGAGGCAGCTGATCAGCCTCTTTATTTTGGTTTAAAGTTCTTTGTCTGATCATGGAGATCCCTGCAGGTCCAGGGGTTGGGGCTTCCCCTTGTTATGGACCAGGCTATATGGGCAATGACCAAACAGACTCC